TGTAAAGTTTGAATGACAGGTGATGATGACTGAGAAATTAAGAAACTGCAAATCGAGACTGGATAAAGGAAGTTGAAAAGAAAATTTTTATGGAACTAAATGTAGGAAAACCTTCTACGAACGTATATCAATTAGTTAAGTATATGAGAGACGACAGTGTAAAAAGCATTAGAAAACTGTATGTACAGTATAAAATTGTAACCGACGTGTGTGCAAGGATCGTCGGTCTTCGTCAGATTTGTGTGATTATTATGGTATTTTTGCATAGTTAAAAACGATACGGTTTTGGGTGCGCTGCATGTGCAATCACGTCGGGGTCACCAGTTTGGGAGCCGGCAGTAGGGAATAATTAAGATGCAGTACAAAGAACAAGCCGTGTTGAGAAAACCATCATCATCTTTTTATTGTCACTCGTTGCTATATTAATTTGTCAATATTAGGGTAATGCTAGACCGATGAGAGTAAGGGTGTAAAAGATAAGAGCGGTGCTACACAGTAGCAAATGAGTCGCCACACGATACTTAAAATTAACCCATATGTGGATGAACGTTAATAATTCAAGAATGTTGAGTACTTATGTATTAACGCCACCACAGCTAAGAGATTTGGCGGTATAGGCTAGAGCTTGACTTTATTTAAAAATAATAATACTTAATTTTCCATAACCCTACATAGAAAAATAAGAACAAAAAAAAAGATACAAAATAAAACTATAATACACAAAAAAAAATATAAATAACATTTTGGCAAAAAGGTAACAAGCTCAGCGATTTCTGAGAATTTCTCAGTGCTGATTTTCAGCTTATCCCTGTATAGTCTACAGCTTTACATCATCATTTACAAATATTCACAGTGGTAGTTGGCATATTTTGTTCAGTTAAGACTAGATATAGTAATAACTATAATGTGTATATAAATATTACTACCGTACTGTAACACAAAGGAAGAAAACACAAAATTTTTAATTTTGATTTTTTACCTATTTATAATCAAAACAAAACCTAACTTAATAAGCGCAACTTATTCTGCTGCTGTGGCGTTAATACGTAAGTACCGAGTAAACTAGCAGATTAGTGATACTGACAGACTTTTTGGTGTCTCGTCACCAAGCGTATGGATTACAACCGTCAGGCACTCTTCGTATGTGTTTAGATGAGAACTGCAAAACAATTGGACGAACAAAATGTTAAGAATCTTGTGAAGTTTGCCATAAGAAGGTAGAAAATATGCTGAAGGTGATCGCGCTTGCCTATTTTCTGGGTACCTACTAAATTTTATGTTGCTAAGTTAATTAACTAAGGAGCAAGGGGTCGTGGGTTCAGTTGCTGAAGAGAGAAGTACCTGCGAGACCCTCAGACACTTGTTCCGGTCCTTCGTTTTTCCAAGGAGGGCTGATATCAGGCATGCGGCCGGTCGCAAAAAAAAACTAGCAAATACCGTTAATATCATGATTCACGTACCCGACCATAATTATGTACGGTATGTGAGATATGGGAAAAGAGAATAATTAGTATAAAATAAATCACATTTGGTTTCGTGCCGGTTCTTCTCTGATGTTAACTGTTAAAGTACAAAAAAAAGTGCCACACACTGTGGAAAGAGTACTTCGATTTAAAATCTAAGGATAAAGGAATTTGGTATAAAACAATTGTGTCTGTACCACCGCAAGTGCCATGGTCCTACAATAGTAAATATAGTAGGAAACTTTTAATTATAGCTCTCAGACTGAGATCAGGGCACATGCCACTGAACAAGTTTAGTTATATAATGAAAAAGGTAGTTCACCTAATTGTGAAACTTGTGGAAAGTATGAAGATGTCAATCATGTATTAGCAGAATGTGTGAGGTATAAATTAGCCCGTGATTACTTAATCAAATTATTAAAATTAAATTTATTCGATGTAGGTACTTTCCATCATGTTTTGTCAAAACCTAGCTCTAAGGCAGCTTTTTATTTATATAAATTTGTACAATTCCGTTTCCGTGACACTGGGTAATCTTAGAAATATAAGTCACTCTGTGAACATGTTAGTTATAAGGTACAGTGGGACTATGCATGTTTGTATAAAAGTGCCTAAATTAATAGAGGAAAAAAAAAACTGTTAATGTTTAGTTGAAGTTTCAAGCTTAAAACAAACGTACATTTCAATACAATAACAAATAAAAGGCACTCTGCCTATGACAGAAACATAAAAAAAATATTATTTTATTAACGTTTAATCTGAACGCATTTGGTAATAGTGAATCCAACGCGGAACACGAGAGATCATCCATAAATTTCACAGACGAAAATATTGAAAACATGAAAATATTAGTGAGTGTTAGTTTTTGAAATACAAACCATAAGCTAAATCAATCAAATAAGGCGTCCTGTGTGTAATATCGTTCCAATTTATTATTTGTAAACAGTAATTACAATCACGCTATACTTCTTCTAAAACTGCACGAATTACTTATGACTTATTTTTCATATGAAAAGATGGCAAGAGAGCCGGTGGTTCACCTGATTTTAAGTGATAACCGCCGCCCATGGACATTTGCAACAACCATGGAATTGCAGATGCATTGCCACCTTTTAATGAAGTTGGCCCCGGTTACCTCACTCACATGACTCACGACGCGCAGAAGTATAACACTTGCACTTCACGCCGGTCTTCTGTAAGGTAGTGCTACGTACCCGGATGAACCCATTCCATTTGTGCAACAGTGAACACTGCCCTGCCACAGAATGTATACAATAGATCTGGAGTTGAAGAAATTCATAATTTAAAATTATTTTTAATATGTTAGGTATAAAGTTCATTTCTTTATCTGCTGGCCGTACCTATTATTTAAATGGCAAAAAGTTCTCAAAGCCGAGTTTCAGATAAATTAAAATAAGTTAATCGGTACTAGCGGTGGTATCAACGTTACATCAACCTACATATTGATTGCAAACTCCCGACGCTATGCGAACCTTTACAAGAGTTGACCAAACAGTTCATCGAAAGAGCCACACTCTACGTTTTCACGTACATCATTTTCGCATTTTAAGCAATGTCAAAGCAATGTTTAATATCAATTCATCGTAAGAAATATTATCGATATTTCAAATTGTTTGTCTGCTGTAAAAGAAAAAAAAATAGATGCGTCCAGCATTGCTTAAAATGGGGAAAAAAATAATGTAGATGACGTACGTTGAGATTTTCGTCGGTGTGGCAATCAGCCGTTAATGCGTCTGGGCGCGAATCCCGAAGACGTGGTTTCGATTTCCGCAGCAGCTTACAAACGTTTCGTTAATTTTTTCTATACATTTTAATGAAGATGCTCTTAAGTAAGAAACAATGACTTCTTTCATCCTATCTTCAAGAGTCTAAAGTTCGGGGGCAAACACTTCAGCAACGGTCGTCTTGAATGAAGAATATTTAAAAGTAGTCTGTTTTAATCGGGAAAGCGAGGGAAAGTATACCCTTAGAAAGTTGACGTAAATTACAGTTTTAAAATGTCATATGATACCATTATAATAAATATTAAAACAATATGATTTGTCGTTAAAATTGTTGATGTTTTCGCGTTAACGGCCAAATTACAGTACAGCTTATATCTACTTGTTCTGTACCTCCGTCTTTACTATAAATAATCGCGTACTGAACAGCACCGCCACATAAATGCGACGGCTTTACATATAAATCGAACTTTATTATAGGTATTTGCTTATAATTTATTATAATTAAATAAATATTTAGGATACATTTTTACACAACGTTCTCTAGCCCCAAACTAAGCAACGCTTGTACTATGGGTACTAGACATCTGATACGCATAATTAAACATGCTTTTCTTTTGTAAATAAATGCATAAACACCCAGACACTGGACAACACCATGTTCATCACACAATATTTTCCAGTAGTGGGGACCGCACCCACACCCTCTTGCGCAGGAGGCAGGAGCACTACCCACCACGTCAATCGGGTCGTCTATTTAAATTCGATTAGTTGAAAATGAACTTTTTGGTGGTTTGGTCGAACTAGTTCGACCCACCAAAAAGTTTATTAATTTTAGGTAATTTAGATATGTTTTGGGCAAAATTCGAATACGACAAGGACGAAACAGATCAAAGTTCAAAATAGAGATAGATTAAAAATCGTCAAAAGATTCATGCATAATCAACCGAAAAAAACTATATTTTTTCGTAGCTATAAAATAGAACTAATGTCATCGTACAATTGTTTTGTACGTATATTTACGAGCCAGTGTAAAAGGATAGTAAATAAAGAATAACCTTTTTTCAGAATTCGAAATATTTATTTGGCGAATAACTCACAAATAACTCTGACCATAATTACATTCGTGTTTCATATTAAAAGAAGATATCCGTAGCGCAGTTGCCAAGGTACTGGCTTCGGCGTTGGGGATCGTTGGTTCGATTCCCACACGGGACAACTATTTGTGTGACCCACAGACAGTTGATCCGCTTTTGGATGTTTGACCGCGTGTAATGTATGTTTGTAGAACGTCCTTACAACACAGGATAATGTTATCCTAAAGTAATGCAAACACTGCCTGTATTTTGAAAATAAAAAATATTTCTTTTTAGATGAGAAAAAATTAGAGCATTTATTTGAAATATAATTTGTACGTGAAGAAGGCGCGCAACGGCAGCCACCTATTTTTCCTTTTTTTCGATTCAAGAAGATTTTTTATTTTTTTTTTCCGAGTCCAGATGATTTTTGTTTATTTCGAAACTTTTTTTTTTTTCAAAGTTCCTTCTTTGTGAGAAAAAAAAAATCGGAGCAAAGCTCGGTAATCCATATATTTATTAATAATGGAGCATCTTAAAATAAATGCAGGAAGAGAAGGGTATAAAAAGGAAGTCTGATTCGAAACCTTCCTTCGATGGCCATCTGAGAATTTCATTGGACTAAAATAATTTTTAATCAAATCTATGGTAGTTTACAACAGACATTTTGCATATGATCAAAACCAGCAGTATAATCGTTACGTCCTCCTTTGTTACAGCACCGACGAGGACGCACGGCAAGCGATGATGCTGGACGGCGGCAAGATCAAGGAGATCCAGGTGAAGCTGCTGCTGAGCTCGCGCTCCGAGATGCACAAAGTGATCGAGACGGCCCGCCAGAGCGTGCCCATACTGACGCTCACCGCGCCCGCGCCCGCGCCCGCCCCCGCCCCCGCGCAGCTGCCCCCGCCCACGCCCCCGCAGCAGGCGCCCCTGGCCCCCCTGGCCCCGGCCACCATCACGCCCTTCTCGGCCGCCCTGGGCGCGGTGCCGCTCTCCGGCTTCGGCATCCCCGGGATAGGCAACCCGCACGAGATCCCGCAGCCGGCGGTGATCGAGCCGCCGGCGCCGCTCGTCAGCCCCCCCGGCGGGGGCGCGCCCAACGGCGACGAGGAGCGGGACGAGGACGGCCGCGCCGAACGCAAGCCCAGCAAGGACAAGGAGCGGCGGCGCACGCGCTCGCGCTCCCGCTCGCGCGACCGTCCCGAGCGCAAGGAGCGCAAGAGGGAGCGGCGCGACCGCTCGCGCTCGCGGGAGCGCCGCCGCCGCGAGCGCAGCCGCAGCCGCGAGCGCAGGGACCGCAAGCGCGACAGGAAGGAGCGCAGCAGGTCGCGCGAGCGCTCGCCCGCCAGGCGCTCGCGCGACCGCCGCGCCGAGCGCGCCGCGCCGCGCGACGCGCTCGACCAGAGCGCCGAGCCGGCCGAGCCCCCGCCGGGGCCCTTCGCGGCGCACGGCCCGCCCGCGCCCGCCCTGGCTGCCGCCGCCGCAGGGCCCGCTGCTGCCCAACGGGCCCCCGCCCACGGCCGACACGCCCCCGGGCCGCTTCACCGACCCCGCCATGATGGAGGCCTTCAACAAGCTGCAGGAGCTGGGCAAGAAGCGGAACCCGAACGCGTTCCAGGGCGAGCACGCCAACGGCCCCCCGCCCCGCTTCGGCGCGCGCGGCCCGCCCCCCGCCGCCTTCCGGCGCGAGGCGCGCCCGCCGCGCTTCGACGAGCAGCAGCAGCGCGACTGCTGCGTCGCCATCAGGAACGCGCCCAACCACACCAGCTACGGCGACGTGCGCCGCTTCTTCCCCTTCATGATCGACAAGCACGGCATCAAGATGATCAACGACAGCACCGGCCGGCGCACGGGCAACATCTTCGTGCGCTTCTGCGACCCGCGCTCCAAGCAGCTCGCGCTGCAGCGCAAGAGCAACGAGCTCAAGGGCGCCGTCGTCACCGTCGAGGAGCTGGACGACGAGACGTATGAGAGCGCGGTGGACTCGTACCTGCCCTACCGCGAGGACGACGGCGACGAGGAAGCGGCCCTGGACGGCGAGCCGGAAGGGCCCGCGCCGCCGCCCTTCAACGTGCTCAAGCTCACCGACCTGCCCCACTTCGTGAAGGAGCACGACATCATCAAGGCGTTCAACGACTTCTCGCTGCTGTCGATAATGCTCAACGAGTGTCGCCTCTCGCGCTCCAAGGTGGCGTACGTGCAGTTCGCGAAGGCCGAGGACGCGAGACTCGCCCTGGAGCGCAAGGAGCTGTACGTGTTCGGCAGACGGCAGCCCACCATCGCGCCGGTGGGGCCCGACGAGTACGAGCGGGAGAAGGCGGACAGGGAGCGCGCCGCCGAGCAGCACAAGAGGCGCCCCGAGAAGCCCGACGAGGGCGCGGCGCCCCGCGACCCGCGCCAGCGGCGGCCGCAGCCCGAGCCCGCGCCCCACCGGCCGCAGGGCGCGCCCCCGCTGCAGCCGCAGCCGCCCGCCGCGCCCTTCTTCGCCGGCGCGCCCTTCGGCCCGCAGCAGGGCTTCGGCGCGCCGTTCGCCGGCGGGCCCCAGTTCGGGGGCTTCCCCGGCGCCGCCGCCGCCGGCTGGGCCGGCCGGCCCGCCTTCCAGGGCCCCGCCGACCCGCTGCCGTCCGTCGCGCCCAACCCGCGCGTCCTCTCCACCGACCTCGAGGAGCAGCCGCTCGACTGCGTGCTCATGAAGGGGCTGCCGCGCGAGGCCACGGACCGGACCATAGTGACGTTCCTGTCGGACACGGGCGCCGTGCCCGCCCGCATCCACCTCATGCTCGACCCGAGCGGCACGCCGTCGGGCGACTGCTTCTGCGAGTTCCGCTCCGCGCAGGAGGCGAGGCAGGCGGCCTCTAAGCACGGCGGCGACCTGGACGGCTGCCGCGTCTCGGTGGACCTGGTGTCGCGCAAGGTGGTCGAGGAGGCGCTCGAGGGGCCCAAGCAGCCGGAGGGGCCGGCCAACAAGCCGCCGCCGCAGTACTACGAGCACCCGCGCGGCGGCTTCGGGGGCCCGCGCCCCTTCCGCGGCCGCGGCGGCTTCGAGCGGGGCGGCTTCGAGCGCGGCGCCTTCCGCGGCGGCTACGAGCGCGGCGCCTTCCGCGGGCGCGCGCCGTGGGCGGAGCGCGGCGCCAGGGGCGGCGACAGGGGCGCCAGGGGCTTCGAGCGCGCGCGCGCCAGGGGCTTCGGCAGGGGCCGCGGCGCCTTCGCGGAGAACGGCGCCGCCGACGACGAGCCCGACCCCGCGCTGGAGGGCTTCGGCGCGCCGGGCTGCGTCGTGTGCATGGAGAACGTGCCCTTCCGCGCCACCGTCGAGGACATCCTCGCCTTCTTCGGCGACTTCGAGCTGACGCAGGACGACATCATCCGGCGCTACAACGAGCGCGGCCAGCCCACGGGCGACGCGCGCGTCGCCTTCCGCACGCCCTTCGAGGCGCAGCGGGCCGTCAAGGCGCGCCACCTCGACGCCATCTACGACCGCCGGATCTCGCTCGGCCTGCTCTAGCCGGAGCGCCCCCCGGCGGAGGGGACGGGGACTAGTGGTGACGTGAACGTGCCAACGTCGGGGCTACGAATCGTAGCCGACGGACCTATCGTGGCCGGACGTGTGGACGTTTCCTTAGAGTGATGGTATTAATAGGGTGTTCGAATGAAACTAAACTTATTTCTTTACGCAATTAAATTCGTGGTTTTTATTTTTCTTTTTTCGCCCTCCCGCCCCACACACCAAACGCGTCTCCATAGTGTCTCGCATGGCGCAGTCACGATGGGGTGCAAAACCCTGTCGAACAATATATTGGAAACAGATCCGCCATTAATTTGCCACATGCGACATGCGTGACACTAGATCTAGATAGATGCATTCATCAAAGAAAGCGCCATACACAACAACAATAGTTTTTCACACAACATTAATCGTTAGTTGTTTCACAGTGTTGTAGACATAGTAAAATGTCAAAAGCTTACTCTCTTACAGTTACGTACATTCATTATTAGAATCACCATTGTTATCTGTACAGACAAAATGACTACCAAATGTCTAACAATCCGGGAGTGGACACAACAATTCAATACTTTCCGATAATAATACCACTTAAAATTATGCGGAACGAAACTAGCCACAAAAACATTACTAAGCACGATAAAACTCGAGCAAGGTGGGTGGGATACGTGTGAAAACGACAACTGTAAATTTTGCGTCTAGTCGAAGTATTACAACAAATGAAAATGTTGCAGATCGTGGCTATCTTCGTTCAATATCGAAACCTTAACGCGTAATACAATCAACAAAAACCGAATTTAGATAACGTATTCAAAACTTAATTTTAAAGTTTACCTAATATCAAATAGTATAGTAGAGCAAATTATAAATAAAAAAACAGTCCAACGAATACTACCACGGAGTGTCGAACTTTGGAAACGTTCAGTAGAACTAGATTGAAATATTTTGCGATATTTGATCATAAATCATAATTATAAAAATCTGAAACGCCAGATTCATTGGATTTAAACAAAACGAAATTTCCCAATAAATGTTCAATTACGTTCGATTTATATCATTGAAACACACGCCATAAAAAAATTTATTTGAAAGCAACTGTTCCTAGTTACAAATAGTTCAGTATGCTTCTCATTTTTAGGACAAAAAAAATCAAACCCATATGTTTAATAAAAACAACAAAACGAGATATTTCACTAAAGTCTCCATACACACCGTTAACATAACAATTATAAATTAGAGAAAGTTTCTTAATGCCATAACAGTTACAATACATACAACTACGGATTTAATAAAGACTACACGATATTAAAAATAATATTTATATAATATATTTCACCATCAAGAAAAGAATCATTTTGGCCCGTATATATAAATAAATGTAGAATATCAAACAAAATCTTATTCTGGTTATTTTTGTTCGTTCGAAGTAGATGTCCATAATTAAAGTAATACAAATTTTAAAAAGGTAATAAAAATGGATTTACCTTATTTATTTTAAAAAAAAGCTTTTTGTATAACTCGGAAAATTCCAACTTAATTCGTATTAAATGCCTCGTAAGCATTAAAACCATATGTTTATCCAAAATGGCGCCAAAACAATTGGGTTACACAGACCATAAAATAATCTACAACAATCACTTACCATATCTATAGTAATATAAAAGGTAACAAAAGATGAAATCTTTTGTTACCTTTTATATTACAAGAAGATTCAGAAAATAGTATTTTTTTGGGAATTTTCATGTAAAGCGTTTTTATACATTAAATAGACATCGTAAAAATAAATAGATAAAAGCATATCAAATGCATATTTATACATTTCACAGACGAATATAGTTAGCAAAACGCCACGATTAAAGTGGCGTACATAATAAATATTCATTGTTCACTCCATATAAAGTTACAACTAGTTACATACCTATTTTTACATCCCTTTTGCTCTAGCGACTCGATATATAATAAAAAAAGTTTTGAAATTGTTTAAAATTAATTGTACATACACAACATCGGTTGCATATCACAATCCCAGGTAGGAACCTGATAAACTGTAATGTAACAAATTCTTCACCCTGCAAAAAGGGCCATAGCGCCAAGGACAGTAAGCATGGATACAGATTAAATGAGAAATGTGGCCAGTTTTTGATTATAACATAAATTTATTTTACGATACTGTTATGAACGCAACCGTTCATACCCAGGAATGGAACGTGTTCACCGAAAACAGCCGAGGCAACATTATACGGGGCAGAGAGATGACTGGGACTTTTTAAAATTGTAACGGACTACTCACTCCTTTCCTTTTTATCGTACATAAAGATTTTGTAGCAAAGGACTTTTTTATCATTTACTGGCGCCTACATACATCTTCTAAACACCTGAGAAGAAACAGATACTTTTATGTACATGGTACGCAGAATCTGTGGTTGTAGTGTTGTCGACCCTGATTGCGCGCAATAGCACACGAGCCGAACTAGCAGAGATTTAGAATTTGTTACACTATGATATTAGATTGCTTGAAGACTGAACAATTCCATTTAACTCAAAAGCGATACAAAATTCACAAGTTTTACACAAAAATATTTGTTTTGCCGCGAGATAATGACGTCAGCTGAAAATAATACTAGTTATATCTTAGTATGACCAATCATACATTTTAAACCAATATCCAAGGTAACAAGATAAAAGCATAATATTTTCCTCAAAATAATGACTGACAAGATGTATTTTTATAAAAATTAATAATCACGCGATAAATTCAGTATCGAGTAATGTGTTCTGTCACCGCGGTAATTGTGACCTAGAAATGTACATAGTATACTGTACACAAGCCCTGCCCCTTCTACGTGGTCCCAACATCGAAAGTACATTAAAATAGCAAGCGATTAAATGTATACACATTCTAGAAGTTTAATGGAACGGTCATGGGCGAAAGAAGATACAATTTTTTAAACGAGCCAACATTTTGCGAGTATTACAAATTTTAACCAATATCTTGATTTACTTACGTGACTAGTGCAGTCTGTTTTATATTTGCCATCCACTAACGAATTCATAAGTTTATAATAGGAATTAGCGATTGATGTTTAATTGTCATATAAAAATTACGATTTATAAGTTTTTCATTTACACGCCAATTTTTTACACAGTTTTTTTTTGTTTGACAGTTTTTTATAACATAACAGTTAAACCAGCTTAGTTAATATAACTGCATGACACACCAGAGTGACTGTGTGGGAATTTGTTTTATTTTTATTTTATATGTGTTATATTTGTTAATGTTGAAAATATGTTAATTATGATGAACCACAACACTGGCGGTTTTTGTGACTTACATAAATAAACAACACTTTCGCCCATAATCGAAATCTTGTGCACAAAGTGATTTATTAATCCTTACCAATACACAATATTCTTAAATAAATTAGTTATCAACAACATCGATTTTACTTACACTCCAATATTATATTATTAAATATTCAAAACTTTGTAAAATAAATTACAAAACTATTACGAAGTACTCTCAAAAATGGTTTTTCCATTATCTAGTAACTAATTAGGAGTTTATGAGAAAAATATATCAATTGATTAACTAGGACAATTGGTTTCATGAATTTACTGTATTCTATTGTCTTCATTCATATTATTTGTTCCTTTTTTACTTCTGCCTTCAATTGAAAATTAGTTAATACACTTTGCAATATAATTTCAAATAAGCCTTATGGGCACCCCAATAATTTGGGTTTCTTCATTTTTCTCGCAGAATATTTTTCCTCATTTTCCAACACATTTTCTTATATATTTACTGCGCAATTTGTATAAAAGCAGAAGAAACTTATGTTCAACTCTTACAACTTACAACAAATGCCTACATTAACTTGTACAGTAAACTCAAGATTAATTTTAATTAATCTATATTTAGATCTCATCTACGTTTAACCTAAAAACAAATAATAGAAATATCACGAAATCTCATGATTTACATTATCATTCAACATTTGTAGTACATGCATATCAAAATTGCTATACAATATCTAATATACAACAAATACTTTCTGATCCTATATGTCCTGTTATATGATGAACAATTTTAACTTTTATTAAAAAAGAACAGTTAGTTCACTTTGGCTACAATTAATCTTTGGCTTAAAACAGTATCCAAGGTTTAAGCCTTGCCGTACGATAAACCAGGCGAAAGAAAGCCTAGATATAGTTGATGTTTCTCAAAAATTGTAGTCAAAGGGAAAACAGGATTCATTACGAATCTCATTATATACATTTATATTGTATAAAATATTTATAAAAAACGTCTCGAGTAAATTAATGAAGTGACATTCCCCTTATCATTGGTAGTAAAGTGTAATTTTAAAAGTGGAACTATATCTTTGAACTATCAGTATATATTTAATATATTTTTTGTTGTTTACCATATATATCAATTCATTTCATGTTCTATCAAATATAAAAATATAAATTGCATAGAATTCAATTTTGTTGGATTACATAGCACGGAATGTTTTAAACAACTCAGACAAGTTTGCTAAAGTGAATATTTCAATCTATTGAATATTTTATAAAAATAATTTGGTTATATGAATGATCTATTACATTTTTGTCATGGAAAACATTAGCATAGCAATTTTAATTTTTTTATTTCAGTGTTAGTGTAATTGGGTCCGTATGTACAAATGGAAGTTATGCTTATTAATTAATGTTTTATAATTTTTAGCCAGTCTATTACTATGATGGAGACATTAATAATAAAATAGTTTTATACCAGTTTGTTTACTCAAAAATGGATTTAATCTGTTACATGGAACAATTTACAGTATACTTTTGGAATATCGAAGCAAAAATGGAAGTAGTATAAGAATATCTTTAAATAATATACTGTTTGGAATAAATGTTGTGTAAAAATAATTATAAATAAGGTAAATACAGCTAAATGTATAATGTTATAAAATTTTCATATATCATACAAAGCAATGGGTTAATACCATTGCCAATAAATCGTAATTCAATAAACCTAGAAACATGTTAAGACAATGTTTTACAGAAGCAGCAAAATAATAGAAAAATGTGATGCATTACAAATTGCTGTTAAATATCACACAGCTAGACATTACATCTTTCAAATAATAACTGTATTGTAACGACTTGGAGGCCATTTGAGCAGTGCTGCCCAGTGTACATTTAACTTAATCATTGGCTTAAGCTTATACCCAATAGCGGGGCCTCACCAATAATGGTGGTATAACCTCATGCCATTGCTCATCTCCTCAGTGGGAGAGAATGATAACTTGTAGACAAAGATGACACCAAGAAGAGAAGAGAATCCACCATACACTGCAATACCGCTGATGACAACTTCAAACTTGTATTTGCAAATTTGAAGCGTAGCTGAGGTTTGTAACAGACTTCTGTGTAAATGTTGCACTGAATTTGTTTCTTTATGATTCCCTGAAAGAGAATATGATTTATTGAAATTTTAATCACCGCATACAGTACATATATATTATAAAGAGCATATCTTTACAATCGCAACAATAAATGAACACACATATAGAGGATAACTTTTTAAAATTGTATTAAACATTTACATTCTTTAAACATCAATATTTACCGAGGTATTAAATTTTTCCAAACCAAAGATTTTAGAACACCCTTACATATAAAACTGTAACGTAAAGTTCATTTGTAAAGGTCACAAAGCATATGAATGGATTGAATGAATTTAAAAGAGATAAAACATATTTTTAGAAGGAGAGACTTGTAATGCGACGCTGTGGCAACGAATCAAAAAGTCTTTGAATGTATGAATCAGTCAGTTGTAGTTGTATAGGATGTTACAAATTTTGTTTCTTTTTTAATTAATTAGTTTGTTTGAAAAATGTTTTTTTTAAGTATGGGTTTTTTTAACGTTATTATTTTTTTATGATTATAGACGTGAGAGATATGAGAAGTAGCGTTAGACGTGTGTTCATTTATTGTCACGGTGGTAACGACAGGTGTCGTTACCATCGCGACAATAAATGAACACACGTCTAACACTACTTGCCAATAATCATAAAAAAATATTAACGTTAAACAAAATCCATAATTAAAATAAAATATTTTTCAAACAAAGTAATTAAGTAAAAAAGAATCAAAATTCGTAACATCCTATACAAGTCGCGCCACAGCGTCAAGCTTCTCCTTCTAACAGTATGTTTTGTCTCTTTTAAATTCATTCAACCCATTCATATGCTTCGTGACCTTTACAAATGAACTTTACGTTACAGTTTTATACATAAGGGTGTTAAAAGTGTTTGTTTTAGAAAATTTAATAACTGTAAATATTGATGTTTGAAGAATGTAAATGTTTAATACAATTTTAAAAAGTTATCCGCTATATGTGTGTTCATTTATTGTCGCGTTGGTAACGACACGGCAGTATATTATATAATACATACTGCATTATAAATTTGTATTGGTCAATAAAGAATGTATATAAATATTGTCCTCTATAAAGCTGGAAAAGAGGCATCTACTTAATAGGCCATTATTCATCATCCTCCGGCCCTTGTCCCACATAGGTGGGGTCAGCACAACATTGTGAACCAAGTTTTAAGCGGTTTTTGGCTATATTTTTTACTACCGACCCCCTGTCTGACGTCAACCCTCCTTGGGAAACAAACAACCAGATCCAGAATAATTATCTGTGGGTGACACAAACACTTGTCCCATGTGGGAATCGAACCCACGACCCCCGAAGCAGAAGCCAATGTGCCACCGTTACTACGCTATTGATTTCACCATTAATACGCCATTATCATTTTGTTAAAATTTTTTGCTTAAAATCTAGCAATCTATAACTTCCTATCTCTATCTTTTTAAAGTTTTTAGATTCAAAGTGGAATTTTTCTTGGCTAATTACAGAAAAATTTATAAAATAGTACCAAAAATCTCAACTATTTTCACCAAGCCACAACTTACTTTTTGTTATTAACGCAATTGGAATTGTTGTGGTTGGAATTCTCTGGACTGTCGCTGATATCACTGGAACTACGTATGTCACCCTCCATCTGGAAAACATTCAAAGTAATTTTTTAATTAAAATTTACTAAATGTATGCATCTTCGTCAGTAACAAGTTTCCTAGTCTTTTAGGGGTAAGCTAGCTCTATAAACAACTAAAATAAGATTATTAATTCCAGTCAGTAAAATGACATTATTATAGTAACTGTTACCATACTCACATAGTTATTAAAAGTGTTAATATATTATTTTATCGATGCAAGCAATGAAAGCTCTCTTGAAAAGATGTTGGCTTCGGCGCCGGGGTCGTGGGTTCGATACCCACATCACACAGTTGTTTCAACTGTGTGACCCACATGAAAATTATATATGTAAATCCTTGCAACACAGGATAATGTTATCCTACAGTAAGGGGCAATGTTTACGAACGGAAGACTACAATAGATCTTCAAGATGGTTGGGACTGACTAACCAACCCTTCCACACAAAATACAAAGGCATAATTGACATAATTCATTTTAGCAGACTGTTCGATCGGTGTCTATTACGCCGAGCCTGTAAAATTAGTGGGTAGTCACCATGCCGGCCTGTATGGTTTTGTAGGCGATCTGCAGTATGAGGAAGGTCCAGATGAAATGCAGCACGAGGAGTAGGCAAAGCAGCGAGTTGAAGATGTAGTAGGCCGGGAACATTGGTACCAGCATGGGCGCTCGGATTGTTGTGCTGGAAACAGGGTGAACAATGTCAATAGGCATATTTAAAATCATGAAAAACTCGATTTTTGTACTCTCTTAACCAACCGTGATGTGAAGTTTTATACAACGCATCTGGAACCCATCGGGTGTATATGTCCATGGGCAACAGTAATCACTTAACATCGGTTGAACCATTTTTGTAAGTTGAATCATTTTGAGTTGCTGGACTTGGCTTGGATTTTATCAGAATTATTATAATACTTAATCAATACGTAAAAGTATCTTTCTTTTTTAAGAGAAAAGGTGCCAAATTTATTTTATCTCATTTTGGTTTGAAATCTTTGAGTCACTAACACCTAATGCATAAAATATTGAAAAACAAATACAGAAGGCTTCCACCAAAAGTACCTCCATAACAGATAGAATGGGAAGATGCCAATTCTGGTGCCAATCCAGACCACAATGAGGCATAGGAACAGCACATCACAGGTCCTTTGGTAGTTGGCGTATTTGGCTGCTTTTACCGCCTGCAAAATTTTATTACACATTATTGACACTGTACCATGATTTAATATAAGTTTTAACAAAAAAAAAAAGTATAACTACATAATTCTATAATATTAAATACCCAGTAGTTTTGTAAGACGAATTTTGTGGTTATTTGTATGATTAAACATGAAATCATTATCAATTGTGATGTTCAGTCAAAATAAGATAAGAAATTATGTATTTTAGTCATATCAAACGGGGCCAAGTCTCAGTTAAAACTTCTTTATTCAATATAGGCTCATTTTAAAGCTCTTATTGAACGTCAAAAAACTACGGCCGATTCACTAAATTAGACTTATCCAGAGAAGAACCGATAAGTAACGCATTAAAGAAAAAATTAATGTTTTTAATTAAATGTGGAATTGGTTGTTGGATGTTGAGTTCATTGCTGATCTCTTCTCAACAGAAAGCGCTCTCCAAATAGGCGGTAACTTATGTATCAATTTTTATGTTAAATTCGACTTTTTTTACAACGATAAAAAAAGAGGATACCTACGGAGTTTTCGCCCGTTTCTTCTCTGATACAGGAACGTCATTACGAAAGGGAATAAAAAGAAAATGGGTGCGTGTATCGTGAGAAGTTATACTTCTTTGGCATGATTAAAAAAAATTAAAATGAGCCGTCACGGGACGCCTGGCAGATGTGAAACATCGACATTATTCTGTAAAAGTAATATGCAGAAAAGAACAGATTGTGATAGGAACTAAATATATCATAATGATAAAATAAAATATTACGATTTTTTATTATGTCACTTAACAAAATTAAAATTAAATATTCATATTAAAATATAATTTGAAAAGCACAATATTATTATTACACACGATTATTTTAATACACCGTACACACTACTGCATATAGACTGTATATATATGCCATCATATAGCGTGGGAACGCGTCGCCACGGCATGCGTCGCCACGCCAGAAATCGGTTTTACGTGCGGCTATAGATGTTTAACATCAAAATAGTTTTTAATTGAATGCAAATAATCAATTAGAATAAAATAGTAAAAAGACTGAAAAAGGATCCTTCCTTACTAATATCAAAGACGTGAAAGTTTGTATGTATGGATGGATGTTTGTTACTCTTTCACGCAAATACTACTGAATGGAGTTTAATGAAACTTTACAATATAGAATAGAATATACATCAGAATAACACATAGGCTGTAATTTATAAAGATAATCTGTGAATTTTCCAAAATATGGGTAATGATAAGTGTCAACTAAATAGGGAAAAAAATCATCCATCTGCGAGATATTCTGGTGTAAACTCATTGTTCATTTCTTTAGGCCGCGCGGGCGAAGCCGCGTAGTAAATAATAAAATTAGCGGGCTTAGCTTCAAAGGTGTGACTTTTGTGTTACATATTAATAATTTCACCCTCATAATTTTTTCCTAGCGCGCCTAAACGATGATGACTCCTCGGCGCAGTTGCCAAGGTATCCGGCTTCGGCGTCGGGGGTCGTGGGTTCGATTCCCACACGGGACAACTATTTGTGTCACCCACAGATAGTTGTTTCGCATCTGGATGTTTGTCCGCGTGAAATTTATGTTTGTGAAACGTCCTTACAACACAGGATAATATTATCCTAAAGTGAGGGCAATGTTTTTTAAAAAAAAAAATAATAATAAAAAAAAAAAAAAAAACAAGTATATATACCTCGACGAAGATGTCGCCGCAGTCGTGGAGCAGCAGCACCAGGGTGCCGACGCGGTGCAGGTTGCACACCCAGCTGAAGGAGATGAGCGCGACGGTGGCCGCGTGGTGGACGAACATCTGCCAGAAGTCCTTGCGCCGCACGTCCCAGAACTGCGAGATGCTCAGCGACCAGTAGAACGCGGCGGACACCATGTAGTACCACCACACGTCGCCGCTCACGCCCTGGCGGTGTAACATGAGTTGGAGGTTCGGATGTGAACGTTTCGCGAACGCAAAAGGCAGGAAATCAACTACGAAAGAATTTGTTGGAACTTGTACAAATCAAAATGTTTACGGTGGTAGGGCCACGCACCAGCCTCGGCTGTTGCACGAATGGGCAGGCCCGTCCGGGTAAGTACCACTACCTCACAGAAGACCGGCGTAAAGTGGAAGTATGACAAATACTTTCGCGTTTCGTCTGGTGAGTGAGGTAGCCGGAGCCCAATTTTCAAAAGGTTGTCAACGCATCTGTAATCCTCGGATGTAGCAGATGTCCATGGGCGGCGGTATTCACTTAACATCAGGTGGACCGTCTGCTCGTTTGACAACCTTTCGCATAAAAAAAAAAAAAAAAAATCAAAGGACGAAAAGATTCCGTCTGCTGCAGGAATACTTAAATGCTATAAAAATGTAGACAAAAGACTTTGAGAATCACATCGGTGTAGCAACCGGCAGTTTAGCATAGTGGTTGATGCGTCTTGGCCCGAATCCGCAAGTGGGTCGATTCACACAGCGGCGAAAAATTTTTTATTCCATCTTTAATACAATTTTTAATGTATCACCTGCACATTAGCACTGTATAAATTTGAAATTACTAAAGAAATATAACGTGCGAATTAAGTTTAAACGAGACTTGCTGGAAGTAAAGTTTACAGAAGAAAATAACACTGCCTTATTTACTATGGTTGTGTTAGGTCAGGTTTTTCCAATGTAATAAGTTGCCAAGCGAGCAGGCGGCTTACATGATGCTATATCATTGTCGCCACCTTTGGAAACGTAGAACATGAACAAAGAGACCCCGGTTATCTCACAAATATTTATCTGGTGCCTTTACCAAGTTTAAGATTAAACCTGCGGATGAAACATACGTCATTAACGAACACCGAGGCAGTATACCTGGTGAGGATAGCCAATGTAGCAATGATCGATGTCCCACAGCCATTCCTTGTCCCAGAGTATGACCAGGCCGAATATGAAATTGCTCGTGTGGAAGGTGAACTTCCAGAGGTTCTCGCAGAACTTGACGAGGGTCGAGGGCTTGTCCTGGGAGCGACGCAGCCGCCACCAGCGCTCCACCTGCCGCTCCGTCATGTCCAGCTGTTTGGCTAGGCCGCATGGCTGCAAAGGTAAACATAAAACTTAACGTTCGGCGACCCGAATGGCGTAGTGAGTAGTGTACTTGCCTTCTGCGCCAGAGGGTGTGGGTTCGATTCCCACTACTGGAAAAATATTGTGTGATGAATATTGTGTGATGAATATAGTGTTTTTCTAGTGTCTGGGTGGTATTTACGAAAATTATGTTTAAGTATGTTCATCAGTTATCCAGTACCCATAGTACAAGCGTTGCTTAATTTGGAACTAGAGAACGTTGTGTAAAAAAGTGTCCTAAAATATTTATTTATTCCTTTAATGCTACTCGTTTACTTTTACCCTTTGCAAGAGTTTGTGTTTATCATCCTCTAAATTATTAAGTGCAATTAGTTTATTAAGGTGTTAATTTTATTTAGTTGCTGACTTATCACCCGCTCACCGGTGAAGGAAAACGTCTCGAGGAAACCTGCATATTTTCGAAATGATAATTGATTAAATGATAATGATTTTTTTTTTTTTCAACCGAAACTCGAAATGATTATATGGGTACGAATCAACCGTTTTGTATCTACCAAGGATTCCTTCATAAATATATTCGGTTTAATTATGAACTATACTGTGACCACGCAGCTGCTATTGTGATGCGTGGAAGGACTGGTAGTTAATGACACGATCTCACATAACAGTAAAGTAGAAGCATATATACGGATATGAATTTCGTCTGCTGGGTAGGAATAACCCAGGGGCCACCATCAAAACACAACCTATATACATCAGACTAACTGCTTCCCGCGACTACGTCCGCGTAGAATAGGCTGAAGGCGTAACATTCAGACAGAAAGACAGATATACATAAAATATGTATACAAATTATAGCCGGTGTCTTATTCTGATGTATAAGCTATATTATTGTAAAGTTTTATTAAAATCCATTTAGTAAAATTGCGTGAAAGAGTAACAGACAGACATCCATACATACAAATTTCGCCTTTATAATATTAGTAAGGATAAACCGCCTGCTCATAAAGAAACTAAAGTTATAAAATATAAATGTCCCACTGCTGGGCAAAGTCCTCCTCTGTACAGAGGGTATCAGGCATAGTCCACCACGCGGCCCCACTGCGGTTTTGCGGACTTTACATATCTTCGAAACATATTTGTTATTATTTCGAAAGTATGCAGGTTTTATTTTCTTCCAAGGCTGACCACGTGATTAGTCATCAACTAAAATTAAAAACTTCATTGGTGCCGGCACCGGGGATCGAACACAGGTTGCTCGAGTATATTGAATTAAACGCGAGCGCTCGTACAATGAGCTATGCTCACAAATTAGTTGCTAAGCAAACTTCTGGAGTGAAAAAAGATTTTTATAGAGCAAACAACTTAGTATTCGTTAAACATCAAAATCGTTCAAAATCTACATTATGTTAGTTTATTTTTTTTTTTATTTATTTATAGTTTATTGCAACATTTAAATAAAAAGGATTACAAAGGGCGAACATAATGCCTTTTGGCATTCTCTCCCAGTCAACCCGGGGCGTGGTGAGAAATCGTGGTAGGTGCAATTATTACACTAAAATGTTTATATGTATTACTATATAATAAAATATAAAAAAACGTTTATGTATTCCCATAAAGTTTAATGCCCCTTGCGTTTTATGTGCGACGGTACATTAAATTGAAAGCGATCTTTTCGATAAAACGTTAGATGCAAGTATGTACAGTATCGGCCGAAATCACGCGGTTTTATCACGGTTTGTCTCAGCATGGACGCAGAGACAATTATCAGCGCTATCAGAGATCGCGTGTGTTTAGCTTATCGCGTTTGCAGAGCGAAACGGAGGCAGAGCGGTAGTTTTTTTTTTTTTTTTTTTAAGTGAAACTTCAAATTCGACTTCCGAGAATGTTGCGTTAAACGTTTAACGCTACGATGTAGGGGGTATGAAAGCAATGTTGCGTTCAACGCTCCTGAGAAGGAGACGGGCCGATAGTGAATGCGTGACGCTCGAAGTTTCACTTCTTCCGCGCGGAGGGACTCCACGCAATTTTTTTTTTGTGGGCAAACGAGCTGGCGGCTCACCTGATGTTAAGTGATGACCGCCGCCCATTGACATTTGCAACACCTTTTAATAAAGTGTTCTCTATGCGATACTGTCAACATCGCGTTGGATTTACGTAATTCATTTTGAGACGTTCAGCCAGTTCGTGTAAAATTATCGTTGTTTCCATCCGAGGCGAACGGAGCATAGGTGGCGTACAAAATGGACGCCGACAATGTTCTGAGAGATAAAATGTGATTTCGTGAAAACATTACTTTTACATTGACAGCACACCGGGCGAACGGCACGAAAATAAAGTTCTATTTTCTGCGGACGATCGTAAATATGCATTACTAACGTTCGTTGTTTACGTTTGAATCGGTACAGTTTCTGACTGTACTATATACTGTGTTAATGTAACACTCTCGGGTATAATGTAAAGACAGAAAGTATTTACATACCCTATATAACCCCTTATAAAATGTTTATATGTTATACATTTGTACTGATTGTTTGTTTGTGTTGATTCGTTTAACTTTATTAACATTTAAGTGAGCAGTATCCATTAAAAAAATTGCAATGCCTGGAAAGGGCATCAAGTTTCTGCATACTTATTTATTGTAACACCTATTTATATCATTTATAATAAGATGGCCAATAAATGATAGATCGATTGATATAATGCAATGACAATTGAATATATCTGTTATCACCATATTATGGAGAACAAAAACAAAAATATGCCAACTACCGCAGTCAGTCTTTGCAGATTCATTAGTAATTTTAGTAAGGGTCTAGCTGTGCACGCGACTTGTTCGCGTGGAATTTAAAATAAATAACATTTCTAAATTAAAAGTAGCCTAAGTTGCTACTTATTACATCAGCTATCTCCCAGTGAAAGCCCCTTCAAAATCGATCCTGCCATTTCAGAGATTAGCCGGAACAAACAAAGAGATACAAAAATCATAAAAATATATTTTGGTATACATATATGCCATAAGAAGGGTATCCAAAAAAAGAAGGGTACCGTGCCATTATTTATAACAACGACAAAAAAAATCATGTCTGTTGTATGGGAGCAACACTTCATTATTTTTTAATGCTTTTTAGTATTTGTTGTTATAGCGGCAACAGAAATACATAATCTCTGAAAATTTCAACTGTCCATCACGGTTCATGAGCCTGGTGAGACAGACAGACAGCGGAGTCTTATTAATACGGTCCCGTTTTACCCTTTGGGTACGGAACCCTAAAAAAGCTAAACACACGCCTCTAAATAGTTTACAGCGTAGGTAATCGGCAGTTTCGAATATACAGTCGCGTGATAAGGCTTATCTTTACAATCGCGATTTCTAATCGCATGTAAATACGGTCGACATGGTGTTTAGTTTAGTAGTCCGTTAAGCATACACGGTTAAGTTTCAGATTCAAAAGGTAAGACGGCACTATTACTAAGACTCCGCTGTCTGTCTGTCACCAGAATGTATATCATGTATATCATGAACCGCGATAGATAGTTAAATTTTTCACAGATGATGTATTTCTGTTCCCGCTATAACAACAAGTACTAAAAAATAAAATAAAAAAATAATTTAACCGGAGCTCCCATACAACAGACATGATTTTTTTGATAACTGTACATCGTTTCTATAGATAACATGTATATACTTGGCCAGAAAAGTTGTTAGAAAGGTTCACGTGATACTAATTGAGTACCGTCTAATGGGTACCCTAGATCGGGGGAGTGGCCGACGTATTTGAGAGGAGTCTCAGTAAGAACCCACTAGAAACTCACGTTGCCACTTGCATAGCCTAGGGTTGTCCCAGGTCCATACTTCTGCGACTATGGCCGCCTTGGGCCTCAGGGCATAATATCTACAACAGCTGAGGGCTTGCAGATTCGTTGACAACATTAACAAAAAGTTGGCTCCTCACCTGACGGAACGCGATAGTGTTACGAAGTGTCGCTTGACAACTTTTCACGTGACAAAAAAAACCAAAGACACGACTCGATAAGGGCCCTGTTCCTCAAGTTTCCACTGAAGATGAACACCCAAACAGCCCAATTTTCAAAAGGTTGTCAACGCATCTGCAACCCTCGTGCTTAGCAGATGTCTATGGGCAGCGGTATTCACTTAACATCAGGTGAACCGTCTGCTCGTTTGGCAACTTTTCACATAAAAAAAGCCCACGAAAAAAGCATCCACGTCCTCACAAGTGAGCTCAGATCGCCCCCTAGGGTTTTCCGAGAAACCAATGAAATTAGGGTGAATCGCTGTTCGCTCATTAATTTATGAAAAAACGAATTTAAGCCAACACTGCAAGACTTCAAGTTGCCATAAACGCGTTCTGCATAGTTAATTCTAATCCCAAAATAAAACAACAAACAGGGTCCATGATGATTCTTAATTTTTAGTTTTCACCATCTAAACTACATTGTGGAATGCAATCTAAGAGAATAAAGAACTAAAACAAACGTAACCCAAGTCAACAACACCGGACACTAGTAATAATTAAATAACACGATAAGAAAATAACAAAGTGCCACAGAAAGCGAAGGGGGTAATAAATAACAAGTTATCGCCAACCTAACGACGGCCAGAGTTCAGGACGCGATAAAGTCGGATTATTCGAGAGTGGATTTTTTAATTAATAAGTAACGTATCGATTGACCCCAACTGTTGAATTGAAAGTAGCTTCGTGTTGCTATAACAATAAAAATCAACGGGTGTTGCAAATGTGCATGGGCGGCAGTTATCGCTTAACATCGGGTATATCGCCAGCTTGCTTGACACCAGTTAACATAAAAAAACTACTTATCGGTGTATATCTTGGTGAGAATAGATATATCACTCACACTTATGTATAAGATCGATCAAGGATCGGTAAAGAAAACATATGTGATGACAACATGCAATCCCCAAATCATTATCACAAGTTATAAGTTAAATCATATAATTATAAATGTTAAATCTTAGTTGTAGATAACTCATCAAAACTCGCATTACCAGGGTTTATCCGGATCAACAGATGGTATGCATTCCCTGTCTCATGCCAAAGTGCTTCGAATGAAGACAGGAAGGAAATTGGCTTCTATTAGGATGATTAGGAACGTAAACAAATAATTGACTTAACAGACCGAGCAGACATGGAGCCGTCAGGCAACGGTCTGCTTTAGAGGGGCCGTATGTTATGTTAAAGTATTAAAATCCAAACGCTTATTGTATCAGAATTATCTTCTTAATGATCAGAATTATTAATTAAAGGAGTTTTACTCAACATTTGAAAAACCATTTGACAGCTGATTAGTATTAACTAAGATCATAGTAGAAATTATTCTACGATGATCAATAGAGACCGAGACACGAGACTTTTTGCCGTTTTCATAGATTATGGAAATGGTACGGACCGTTCGTGCGCGAGTTCGACTCGCAATTGGCCGGTTTTTCAATAACCCTCGCCAATTCTTGTACGCAAACGTTAAAAGGAAGTTTCGTAAAAAATCTTTCATTCACGAGTTACTTCGAGCGTGCTATATATAAACGTGTCGGTAATAGGTTTGTTATAAAAGCAATTATGTTGTGCGTGGTAAGTGACGTCGGAGGGAAGAGCGGCGAATTCGGATCCCGGTCGATAATTAACGAAATAATCATTGAATTTGCGTTCATTAACCAAACAAGCGTGTTAGAAATTCAATTAAGCCTAATTCTAAAAAGTAGAACCTGTGAAAATCTACATATAAATATGTAAATATTAAAATAAATCTTTATGCAAATATTTTAGGAACGGCATAAGAGCGTAACAAATGTCATATTTTGATTAACTGTGGCAGGGCCACGCCATAGCTTCGCCTGTTGCACGAATGGGCAGGTCCGTCCTGGTAAGTACCACGACCTAACAGAAGACCGGCGTGAAGTAGAAGTGTTACACTTCTGCGTTTCGTCTGGTGAGTGAGGTAGCCGGGGCCCACTTTAATAAAAGGTGGCAACGTATCTGCAACCCCATTGGTGTTGCAAATGTCCATGGGCGACAGTTATCGCTTAACATCATGTGAACCGCCAGCTCGTTTGCCACTTTGTAACATATAATAAAAATAAGTTACTGGCTTATGCCAGAGACCTCGCATTTGCCATATTGATGTCGGCGCAAATACACAATGACGCCATTAATGTTTTATTGCTAGCTTTGTGAGAAGTAAATACGAAACGATTCGTTTGCTCGATAATAGCAAAAAGATTACACTATAGTTTTTTGTCACGCTCTTTTCCCTTTTTTTAACAACGTGCCGATAGTTATGGCCGCCGGAGGGGCTTTGGTGTATAAGAGAGAGAGCCCCATATAACTCTATCTTCCTCGAGGGAAGCTACTTCGTCAAAGATTACCACCGATACCAAAAAAGAAAGACCGATTCCCCAAAGTCTTCAAATAGTCCTACATACAAATCCCTAGTTGTAGTCCTAGCCTTTAATTTCTGTAAAGTTACGGAGCTTCTTGTATCTTGTATTAACTGATGTTTTTGCTTTCAGTCCCGAGACTATTAAAGCTTCATCGGACGCAGAAAGTTACGGAGCTTAGTGTTCGACGACAAGTAACACAATCTTCGAGACGAAAAGCGAAAATACCATCCAACAGAGGCATCGATCATGCAGGATTGATTTTTTTTTTAATTTGGTTCACAAAGTGAATGATACATTCAATAAAAACTAAGTTACTAAAACTAAGGAATACAAATATATGCACATTCTACAAAACTGAAAAAAGCGTTCTACACTAAAACTACAAATGAAACATGTTATATGTACAGAAAAATAAAAATAGAAACAAATATTTCATAAGTGAGGATGTAAATTAAAATTAAGATATTTAACTTTAGCTCACTTTACTACAAAGCTCTCGAAGCCGTATTTTAGCAGAGGCCAAAAAACCATAAAACAGATCAAAGTTGAATCACATGGCATTACAAGACGATATCATTCGATAGAGGGGCGAGTGTTGCCCGTATTTGTACGACAGAAAGTTAAAGAAAGACATTTAATGATTCAGCTGTCACTCAAATGCTTTGTCCCGTGTGGGCATCGAACCCACGACCCGCGCTACCGAATCAGCATCCGATATGGCTCAATAAACAAGTCCACTGTTTATAGGGCGGGTGTTACCTGTTTCAGTTTCGGCGACGCCTTAAACGCCGCCTCCAACTTGGGGTTGTTCGGCGCTCTCCTCGGCCGTGTGTCCTTAATGCCTAGGCGTTTGCCGAACGGCCCGTACACTAGCCTGCAACAGAGTGACGAACGCGTGACCGAGCGAAGAGAATCAAAAAAAAGAGAAACAGCCTATACATGTCCCACTGCTGGGCAAATGCCTCTTCTGTAAAGAGGGTATCCGGACATAGTCCACCACGCGACCCCACTGCGGATTGGCGGACTTCACATATTTTAGAACTGTTTTTTTTATTATTACATATTTCGAAAATATGCATGTTTCCTCACGGTGTTTTCCTTCACCGCCGAACACGCGATAATTCAGCACTCAAAATTAGCAATTTCATTGGTGCTGGCACCGGGGATCGAACTCAGGTTGCGGTATAATAACCAAAAACAAAACCGACTTCAAATATCTCACGCTGTATTAATTTTATAATTGATTTTCAGGAGTTCCCCAAGTATCTCCGGAGCCCAAGATCCAGTACCAGTGAAATTAATATGGGACCACAAGGGAAGCACCGACTTAACAAATAAAAAAAGAATCATCAAAACCGGTTCGCTCAATCGAGTTCTGAGGTAACAAACATAAAAAAACAGTCGAATTGAAAGCCTCCTCCTTTTTTGAAGTCGGTGGATACACGAATGCATATATTACGGTTTTCCGCGCTTTTAGGAACATATATATTTTACGGATTTCCTATTAAATTGAAGCACGTCTTTCTCTAGTATTTCATACTAGTCATGAACACTGTTTTGTAGAAATCATCTCGTTCGCAAGGACGAGAGCTTTGTAACATTTCACTGTGCTAGAATCAGGCGGCAGCGTCGACTGTTACACGGATGCCACAGTATCCAGAAGCTTATCGCGGGTCACGCAAAATAATCACGTAGTGTGCAAGTTTCAATATTGACATGTGTCGTGTGGTAATTAGGTTCAAATTTTCAATTTTCATCCAAACCATGCATCTCTGTGACGGCGATAATCAATAGTTTATGGGGAACAACGTTGACACGTTTTACGGTGGTAGGGCTACGCAGCAGCTTCGGCTGTTACACGAATGGGCAGGCCCGTCCGGGTAAGTACCACGACCTCACAGAAGACCAGCGTAAAGTGGAAGTATGACAAATACTTTCGCGTTTCGTCTGGTGAGTGAGGTGGCCGGAGCCCAATTTTCAAAAGGTTGTCAACACATCTGTAACACTCGGGTGTAGGACATGTCCATGGGCGGCGGTATTCACTTAACATCAGGTGACCCGTCCGCTCGTTTGGCAACTTTTCGTATAAAAAAAAAACATATCACAAATAAAGATACATATAACAATTTATATAGTGTATCTAATCATTTATGTATACATGCTTAGCCATTGCGGTATTTTACTATATTATTAGTTACACGAAGATATATTAAACTAATATTGAAAGTCTCAAATATCAACATTTGCTTTCGCCTCGATGCAAAAAAGATCTTTGAGTATCGCATAATATAATTTTGTTCATTATTTTATAAAAACACCACTTTATTTTGAATGACATTGAAATCATAACACTATCATTATGCACTAGTGGAGACCAATCTGTCTAAACTAGGCAGAAGCGGTGATCTGTTCCCTTCTTCCTAAAGTGTGGCCCAGGAATCCCATGATATTATAGGATTAAAATAATAGTGGAAAGACCCACAATCGCCCTCTCAAACTGTTCTCCGTCCTATTTTGTGGACTCTATACACGATTAAAGGTTCTTACCAATCGTTCCTAATTATTTTTCAGGAGACTCCAAAAATTAGTAGGTTCCCAATTCATTAAAAAACATACAAGTATGTTTTTTTATGCTTGTTACTTTAGAACTCGGTCATCTATGAATGGATTTAAAAAAAAAATCGCTTTATGTTCCGTTTAGCTCCCACGTAGAACCATATGAATTTCCAACGTAACGCAAACCTGTCCGGAAACACGACAAGCTGAAGAGGAAGATAGGTGGACGAAAAATTACCCTCGTAAACGTGATATTTTTCCATGCACACGACCATCTCAAAATGCTCTATGGTTCTATTATAAGTTTCATGTAGGGGCATTCTGATTTGCCTGTATGGAATTTGATTACTGTGACTTTGTGACTATTACGTTATGGCGCTCTTTTGGACACAGTATGACTCAGTAATGACTGTAATGACACGTCGGCAGAGTAAGCAAATATTCACTCTATTCACGGCGATATACGCTGATCGACCAATGTTACTTTAAGCGGTTAATCTGTAAGGAGCAGATCTTTTTACGGTATTAACAATGGGAAAACAGTGGCCAAGAGCGAGTCGGACTCGGGCGCGAATGTTTCCGCACCGTTATCGTATATTATAACGTACAAGCAACCCGCCCCGTCTCCGCACGGGTGCAATGCTGAATGTTTGTTTTCGACATCGCATTAGAAACTTCTGAAATTATCAGTGTAATATATTATGCAAGAATTATCTATCTATTAAAGAAAACAGCATCTAAATCCGTTTCGTAGTTTTAAAAATCTAAGCATATATAGGGACAGACAGCGGGACGACTTTGTTTTATACTATGTAGTGATAAAATACCTATATTAACATCTTAATTGTAAATATTTGTAAATGAACCAAATCTTTTGGCGCTGCATGATTCGAACTAGCGTCCTCTCATTTCGCGCCCAGACGCTTTACCATCTAAGCTAAGCGGCCGTTGACCTCACGCCGCGAAAACCTTGACATCTATCTACGTTCGTTCTATAGCATTTTTAGCCATGCATGGCGCCGACTAGTGTGCATCTTTTACAGCATACAACACCTTAAAAATAACATGCGACGATGAATTTTTTACTCAAACCCATAGGGAAATTCAGACCACGGGGTCAAGTACTATCGGAAAAGTGAGTTTTACTGTGGTAATTCTTTTTCCCGGTAGGGTCACCTACCAGAAAAAAAAATTCGTCGACCCATTTTCCGCTAAGTTTGTAGGGCTACTAGGGGAGACCAAGTACAAACACTTGCTAAACGCTGGTCTTTTGCGAAGCGACAGGTCCCAAGGTGGAGCTGTATTGTGAAGTGGATGCGGCTCGCAAAACTTCCCATCCAATTCAATACAATGTATGGAGGTACTATTTAAATTTTTGCTACTGGTAGATTACTAGCCAGCCCATTATTAAATATAACATAGCAGTAACACGCCGTAGTTTGTTCGGTAGCACTACATCGTGAGCACAAATATGGATTTATTTCAATTGTTATGCCATTTAATTAGTAATAGACCTGAGACTTTAACAGATTGAAGATTTAATAGTGGTAAAGTACCAAGCAGAACGTAATTAAATAAACATAACTAGTGGTCGCCCAGTGGTCGAAATTCGACCATAATTAAATAGTATTTTTTATGCACAATTAAAAAAAATTAGCATTCTGCACTCCTGTATATAAACTATAAGTATGGGAAATTTCATACTCCCCGTCCGCACAATTTTCGTAAAAAGGGGTAAAAAGTTTTTGCTTCTCTTATTAATATATAGAAGATAAGTAAAAAAGCAGTAGTGTTACTAGTACTACATCGTGAGCTCCAATATGGATTTATTTCAATTGCTATGCCTTTTAATAAAAGACCTGAAGATTTGAGTAATGTCGTAACGTAGGTTTCTTTTGGTGGTCTTAACTGACAAAAGGTGTCTATTGTTGTGATTATTTGACGCGTTACCGCCTTTCGAGGTTTATTCAAGGATTTTGGGATGCTTCAAAGTCGTATATCGGCTGTTAAGACTTTGATCAGTGATATTTACGTGAGGGCTACGATATTATTTTACTCAATCCGTCCGAAAATTCATAATGAGACAGGCATATTTTCGTTTTCGTTTAGTTCGACAAACAATTAAACATTTCAGGTGAATAAAATATTAGCTGAAATATTTAGTTTTATTTTATCTAATATATAAAATTCTCGTGTCACGGGGTTCGAACTTGAACTCCTCCGAAACGGCTCGACTGATTTTTACCAAATTTTATATGCGTATTCAGTAGGTCTGAGAATCGGCTACTATCTATTTTTCGTCCCCCTAAATGTTAAGGGGGTAGTCCACCCCTAAATTTTTTTTTATTTTTTTATATAAAACTTTTTGTTCCTATTTTTTTATGAAACAGCATACAAAAATACATACAACCCTAAATTTTCACCCCTCTACGCAGACGTAGTCGCGGGCAGCAGCTAGTATTATATACACATACATATGTATTAAATAATTTTATAGTGCAAATATTTCTATACATGAAATCATAAATGTTTGTACCTAGTAGCGTAAATATCTCACATGACTCATTTTTTTCTTGTAATCTACACCCAAAGAGATAGATTTGTATATCTACATACACTATTTTTACATTCAGATAAAAAAAATGCTTTTGCTATATTATTCCAAAATTGACAATCCGGTATTTATTTAAATAATTCAATTAATTTTTATATTCTGGACGCCTGGAGTTCCAAACGTGATGCGGTATACTGAAACATGATGCATTAAACGTTGCAGCAAATGGTAATAAAAACATTATTACTACATCAAACTCATCAAAATTATGATAGGGTTGTTAAGTTCGTAGTGCTTCCCTACATTGAATCCTTGTTTCTCCACTAATATGATAGGGTTGCTACGTTCGTAGTGCTTCTCCACATTGAATCCAACAGTTGTGGGTCTTCGCTCAATACAAACTGCGTGGCGCTTATACTTGCGACACCGCATTCCCGATCCTATGGTTTACATTTTTATGTGAGAAGGTGGCAAGTGAACTGGCGGATCACCTGATGTTAATTGGTGTCCACCGACCTTGGACATTTGAACAATAATAGGGTTGCAGATGCGTTGATTCAATTAATTCTACCCAGAACTATACTGCGTAGAATAAGTAATTCGTTTATGGGACCATCTATACGTTTTACAACAAAATCTCAAAAAACTTTCATAATGCATCAATTTCTAAATTCAAAAAAAATATTAAGGAACTTTTGTGTGTTAATGGATATTATAATATTAGTGATTATTTAAATGATAACACACCCTGGAAATGATGTGAT